TCAAGTAATTTAAGAAATGCAAGATGCACTTATTGTATAGTTGAATAAAGGCATTAAAATTATATGTTTGAAGAAATAAGCTATTATTTGATTATTCAGGTTTTATGATAAGATGCAAGTTGTACGTATGTTGCAATCTTTCCAATCTTTATTGTAATAGGCGATATTGAAATCAAATTTCACTCAATTTGCTGTGTAATAAAATTAAAGATTATGGCAAAACATGTTAGATTCAAAAATATTACTCTTGTTGTTTTAAAATGAAAAGTTTAAATAATAAATAACTTGGATGATGCAAGTTTCTTTCCTCTTACTCTTGGAATTGATTTCTTTCCGTTTGGCAAATTCCCATAACTTTTTTGGTTTTTTTTTATAATTTCATTCAAAAGTTGTCATTTGTGATAAATGCATGGCATGTTGACCCAAAAATGCGAACTTAATGGTTCCTTCTAATCACTTACGCTCAGTATTTATCGATATTTTCTTCCTCTTTTTATCTTTGTAAATATTAAATATTTATTATTGGATGTAAAGAATTTTTGACCTATTTTTTGGTGCAAAAAGTCTACGTACTTTTTTTTTCTTCTTTTTCAGTCTTTGTTCTAATTTCATTCCATTTGGAACATTGGCGTTCTATTATAACATGTGGAATCGGTTAAGTGATTAAAAAAGGTACAAACAGAAAGGCCATATATCAGTTCTTATCGAGCATTTCTTTAGAAGGTAGATGTGTATATAACGTGAAAGTTTCTTTTTAATCACGCATTTGTGCTCCGATATTCTTTCGTGTACTTAAAATTTTTTTTCAGTATGTATTAGAAAAGAAACATCTTTTTTTTTTTATCGGTAACTAGAATCCGATCAAAGTATTTACAAATGTCATTATTACATCGGTGGGAAACTGAATGGGACTGGAAAGTTTCTTGCGAATTTTATTTTTAGGAAACTGATGAAAAGACATTTATAAATGGTATGATTAATCCATTTTAGTTCACTGAGAAATTTTTCTTGGTTTTCACCTTCGTAAAGTTTAATTTGTTTTCCATATTTCATTTTTCTTCAAGAATTGTCGGAAAAGGAGCATTATGCTGGGATCAAAAAGAAGGATGAAGGGAGGGGACATTGAAAGATTAGTGATGAATAAATGTTTCCTTGTAGAATGAGTTGAAACTTATGAAGGTGCAGTGGCGGAAAATATTTTAGAAATGAATTTAGGTAAGAGTTTTAGCAAAATATGTATGTTGAAAAAATAACCGATCCTATCGATACTTTTTTTCATCTAAACAGAATGGATCTTTAATTCAAATCCAGTCGTAATCACTCAGACATTCGATTATCATAGATTTTTAAAGTAAGAATTTCAATCGAATAATTCATTAAAAAATCTCGATTAATGAAAATTTTGACGATTATAATCGTCAATCGTCAATCGTGTTCAAGTACTGATTTCCAGACTTGTAATTTGAAATTAGTGTATTTGAATGCGAATCATTCATATTTTATTGACGTAATTTCGAAAATTTTTGTTTTGTATTTCTAGTTTCAAATGCCATAATTGTTATAAAACATCAGCATTGAAATTTGAATTGCATTTTTGCTTTCGTTCCTTTTCTTTTCAACAATAAATTGGTTTTTCCATTTTGCCAGTTAGATTCTATCATACCATATGTAATCATATCTTGTTCTATTTGTTCGATGAATTCTGTTTTATTACTTTTACGAACCAGTCTTGCATACCTGACTTTCTTCGTTTCATTTCCTTTCCTTTTTTTTTCAGCTCGCTCTCTGCAAGGATATACGAATGCCAAATATGGTCATGAGTAAGGTTATACCACAACGAAATACTCTACCACGACTTTCCACTCGTCGACGGCACGATACGAGAGCTTTGGAAAGTTTGCACGCTGTTCCGCATGGTTCACGAAGCAACCCACCAATCAGACGGGTATCATGTAAAAAATTTTTCTTGCCAGACCACGTAATATTTTGATCCTATGGAGTTCATGTTTTGAAAACTCGTCAAATTATCGCCGACCTTCAGTTTCACTATTTTCAAATCTCTTCACCGCTCCCAATCTCAATCCCTTCCCAGTTTAGAGGCAATTGTCTTGTTTTTGTTGTTATTGAAAAATATTCAAAATCAAGTTAAATGAACAAGCAATGTTTTCCTGAATTGTATTCGAAGTGCAAAAGTTGAATCATTTCGGCTGGTCATTGAAACTGAGAAGAGCAGCGAGATAGATTTAAGCCTACATCGCTGACACACATGTCAGCAAGTCATTACTAGACTGGTCTAGAGCAGTTGTAATTATAGATTGTTTGTTGAATGAGAAAAAGGATGAATAAAAAGGAGTCAGGACTTGGATCAATTGTTTGCATACGCGTGTATAATGTAAAAAAATAATTAACGAAGTATGCTGAAGACAAATTGAACAAATCATTTAAGAAATAAAGAAAAACGTGAGCTTACATTTTCTTTTCGGAAAACCAGTACACCGCAGACCAAACATTGATTAAATATTATAGATCACAAATAGGTGGGAATATACCAGGAAACATTTAAAAGATCTCATGATCAGTATATATACTCTTTTCCCATTATCTAGAATTTGGCATACAATGCAGCAAGGAATGGTTGCACAAGTAGCAGTGATAGCACGACTTCAATAACAGCAATTGAATCAACAGAGCCGGAATCAAAAGATTCACCAACATCTGTTATCGATACTGCCATGGAGCAGCCACAGTATGATATGTCCCGCAGCAGTGGAACTGCCACAGGAGATATGACAGCCAGTATGTTTTTAATAAACTTTTTTCCTTAAATATCCGTACAGTGAAAAATGATCAGGTGTAGGAAAAGGAACTAATTAAAAATAAATAAAAATGGTATTTAGAGAGTATTTGGCTTTCGTCATAAGTTTGAAGTTGCAGAATTAAAAATATGGTCTTTAAATTTAGATTAAAAAAAAAAAACTTGTAATTCATTTGTTTGCTGTTTGCCTCTCTTTGTTCCCCTTTTTCCCTTTCTGGGGCGTCGTATCTTGATTTTTTAACTATCCAATAAGTTACTATTAAAAAATTTTTTCCATCTTGATCCTTCCTCTTTTCGAGGTAACTGGTTAGCGAATTGTCGAAATCATCTTTAAGCCTTTAAAAGGAAATTAAAAGGAAAAAGAAACTTAAAGAGTGATATTTAAAGAACTACTTCCTGTATTCTTCAATCTAAGCTTTAGAAGACTTGCACATTGAAATATTTGTAAGCAGTATGCTCTATGCATAACAATTTGAATCTATTTTCTATTATCCAAAAACAACATTTTAGACTTCATGCGGCTAAGATCTTAAATTATTTGTTTTTTTATTTTTGAATAATGTTTTCTCTTTTGTTTACAATGGTGCAATTTCATGCTTTAGGAATTTGGTTTAGGAATGATTGCAAAAGGATACAACCAGCTGAACTTACTTTGCCTCCTTTCTAATAATTTTATTTTTAACTTTAAGATAAATTAATTTAATTTGTGATGAAGATTGAATTTTTGGATTGCTGAGATGTCGGATTTCAAACGCAAAGAGTAACCTGAATGAAGTTGACTACACGAAACTTGAGTTGTTTTTTAAATTCATGTATTAAATTGCGAAATGATAAAATATGATATTATTCTGAGGTACCTCAGCATCGGATGTCCCTCCTTCGGCTACATCTATTGGGCAACAGTCAGGCTCCACCACCTCACATAATCCAGGGACACCAATGCCGTTCCGTTGCTTTCCCGGTAGTAAAGCCAAACGTGTTCGGTTTTATCGGAATGGGGACCAGTATTTTAAGGTAATTTTGATAGTTATTAGTTAGTGTAACTATAACTGATTTGATGTTAAGCAAATTTGTTTTTTTTAAAAAAAAATGGCTTAGCTGTGAACATTTTTACTATTAATTAACACTGGATTACAACGTAAGTGAAGTACTGGTAAAGCACTTTTATAAAGTAATGAAACAAGAAGTAGGAAAAGGTAGGGGAAAGATTTTCTTATAACACTCTTTTCAGGTTTGAGAGCAATGTTTTTCTCTTGTCTTATTGTTTCAAGTAGTTCAATTATTGTTGTTTACAGGGTATGTGGTATGCAATATCGGTGGAAAGAGTACGGTCTTTCCAGGCCCTTCTGGGTGATCTGACGAGAACACTAACTGATGCTGTCAATTTACCGCATGGTGTTCGTTATGTCTTTTCTCTTGATGGTTCCCATAAACTGTCTTCATTGGAAGAATTTGAAGATGGCGAAGGTTATGTTTGTTCAAGGTGGGTAACTCAAAAACAGTAGGTATTTTTTAATTGACAAGAGTTGAAACGAAAAGAGGAAACTGTTTAATCTTCCCTCGTTATATGAACGAAATGCTTTGGCTCTCCAATCTTAAGAAATCAAAACTAAAGAGTTTCAGAATTTAGTATTCTACTTCAACCATTCACCACAACATTCAAGCATTCACTACAACAGTTTTTTTTTCATTTTTGTGACGTTTTATAATTTCTACAATTTCAGTTCGGAGGTATACAAACGGGTTGACTATGAGAATGCTCGCGAACCAACTTGGCGTATATCGCTGGCCGGTTCTTCTCCAATACCTTTAATGGTGAATTCACCCTTGAAGCAGGTTTATTCTGCATCACTGTACTTTTTTTTCCGAAATATTTATAAAATTGACGGTTTTATGTTTCATAAACGTGAGCAATCACATTGTGATCATATTACAGGAACCAAATGATTTTGTCTATCCAAGAATTATCACTATTATTAGGAATGGCGTTAAACCACGTCGTGTTGTACGGCATTTATTAAATAAGCGGACTGCAAGATCTTTCATTCAAGTTAGTTGTTCTTTATTCCTCGATTTCTTTTCCTTTTTCTTTATCATGACTTTGCATTTTTTTTAAAATGAAGTTTACATAGAGTTCAATTTTCATAGAAATTTCAGAAGATTCAGAGCTATGGTTATTTATAGGTAATCCAGGATATAACAGCTGTGGTTAAGCTTGACAGTGGTGCAGTGCGAAAGTTATATGCACTTAATGGCAAAGAAGTTAGTACCTAATGAATTTGGTTTTATTTTAATCAGTCGTTGTTTCATTACTTGTGTTGCAGGTACCGATTATACACCCAAATTTATACGAAACATTAGAATTTTGAGTTTACAGTTTACTAATCAGTCAACATTATAACTCTCTGTATTCCAGTGACTCATTTTTTCTGTTCAACCTGAAAAAATAATATAAGAAGAAGAGAAGATGCAAAATTAGCTTTCCTTAGCTAATTTTAAGGTAGATATGTGGAATGCAACTGGAGCAAAAATTTTCTTTGGATAAATTGATAAAGTTTCGTTACTAAAAGTGGTTGATAATATAATACAGCGACATGTTTAGGTTACTTGTTTGGCGGACTTTTTCGGTGAAGATGATGTATTTATTGCATATGGAAAAGAAAAAATGAGCGTAGATGATTTTTACGTTGTTTCAGAAGGTCATTTTTAATTGCATATTTTCATAATGGGAAATGGAATTTCATATTTTATTTTTTCAACAAAACTGACTATTTTGCAAATAATTTTACAAATAGTTTTGAATGATTCGAGACTCATAGCACTGTTGCCCCTGCGATATTTTACGAAATCTTTCTCTGTTAAAAAAACAGTTTTTCTCCTTTTTTTAGAATCGAAAAGGCTTTATAGTTTACGATCACGTACACCCCGTGGTAAACCACCGCGAAGGAGAATGCCAGCGAGGAATGAAACGTTGCGAGAAGATCGTGCCGGATGTGTGGTTCCTGATTCCGAAATGAGTACATCTTAATATTTTTCCATAATGTAATAATATTCATGAAGTAGTAAATTTATGGAATACTAAATTATGGAGTAGTTTTATAGAGTAGCAAATTTGGTCGGTTTCCAGGTCGACATCTTCCTTTACCTCTTGATAATGTAATGCATTTGGTTCGGTTAATCGGTGATGGTAATACAGCTCTGGTTTATGAAACGATGTGCAAGTATGAGTTTTTTTAATCTTATTTTGTTTGTTTGAATATAGGGTAACTTTTTTCTTAATTATTTCAGTTATCTTATTATTCTGAGTTACTCGTTGTTATGCATATTTTTAAACGAAAGAATTTTCTATTGCAATAACGAATTTGTCGTCAGAAATATGAAATTAGGCCTGCTAATTGAATATGCTGTCTTATTCCTAACAGTTTTCCTTGTCGTGCAACAAAGATCACACTGATAGTTGGAAGTTGTCGGAATAGTAGGGAGAAGTTTCACTCACTTCACTATTTTAATCACATTTTTCGGTATTTTCAGGAGAACTCGGGCGAGGAAAGCACTAAAAGTAATTAGCCACGAAAATGTCATCGGAAAGGAAGAGTTGATTAAGTCGGAAATTGCCATAATGCGAAGGATTTCACACGATTTTATCGTACAAATGCACAATTGTTGGGAATTTGAAGGATCTTTTTATTTATCGTTGGAGCTTATTACGGTAATCTTCTTTTTTTTTACTTGCTCTTTAGACTAAATCCCAGCCTCCAGTGATTTCTTCATGAGAATTGGATTCGTCGAACAGCGATGTATTGGTTCTAAGTAGGTGATACATGACAATTAAGCAGTAATATTGTCTTTCAATCATATCAAGATCTGGCAACATTTACAAATAGCTGAAAGACACATTATTTCTGTGGGTTTAGGCTGGTCTTACTTTTCCATTTAACCTTTAATCGACTTTTATGAGAATTAGAAGCATTTTGTTTCTGAATCCAAAACATTTAGTTTTGGTTAGTTGCAGTTCATGTTTGGTCATCGTGTGATAAATTTGCAGGGTGGTGATTTATTCGAATATCTTTGTCAAGTACGTCATGTCACTGAGCGATCTGCCGCAGGCCTTTTAAATTGCTTGGCATCTGCGCTTGAGTACTTGCATAATTTAAATATAGTGCATCGTGATGTTAAGCCGGAAAATTTGCTGGTAAGTTGAAGAGGTGTTGTTTCCATATTAAGTTTAAAAATTTTTACTGGAGACGGATGGCAGACGTTACGCTTTTATTGAGTAATGGAAAAGAAAAAGAATTTGCATTATTCGTGTGTCATTTCTAAGATATTTTCGGATTAGTTGATTAATTTTCTGAAAGATGTTTTCAGAGATTCTTTTTCTTCCCCTTTTCTTCCATGTCTTCAAAATTCCGCAAACTTTCAAGGTTTATACTTGTCCGTTCACGGGAGACTTGCGATTAAAGTTGGCCGATTTTGGTTTGGCTGTGGAAATGAGTGAAGAGCCACTGAGAGTGATCTGTGGTACACCAACCTACGTTGCACCTGAAGTAAAATTGTCCTTTCGTTTTGATATACTTTATGTTAATGAGGAAAGGAAACAAAATAAGAAAGGAGGCTTTTTGTTTGATTTTTGCGAAGTTGAAATTTTTGGTACAATTTTTCAATTATCATTCCTTTCTTTCAGGTCCTTGCAGAGCTTGGATACGATCACAAGGTGGATCTGTGGGCTGCAGGCATCATTCTTTATGTACTTTTATGTGGTTTTCCACCTTTTCAAAGGCGAGTTGTGAAATTTCAGCATAAAGATATTGCAGATGGATACATCACTTATATTTTTATGTAAATTAAAATAACATGCAGATTTCCTCAAATATATTGGATTTCGAAATAGGAGTTCGAATGCACAGTCTGCTTTTTCCTTTTTAGAAAGTCATCCAAACCATAGCCCTTAACAGTCAAATATTTCAGTGCCAATGGTAGTCAGGAACAACTATTCGAACAAATTTTAAGTGGACGTTTCTCATTCCCGCCACCTATTTGGGATAAGATTTCATATTCTGCCAAAGGCCTCATACAAGGATTATTGCAGCTGGACGTTGAGGAACGATTTTCGGCTTTGCAAATCCTGGAATATCCATGGATCCAGGTTTATTTCTCATCTTTTCATTTATTATTTATTATTACATGTCATTCAATAGCAGGATTTAAGAATTAAACTACTACAAGGAATCGATATATCTATAAGGACTTTTATAGGGTTGCGGTATAGTAAGTGATGATTATGAGAAATTGATGGAGGCCGCAGTAAAAGCTAGTGTTCAGAAAGAGGCGCAGAGAAATGCTTTGGAAGAAAGTGATGTTGAATTCTACTACTCGAGGTGAAATTAAATTTGAATTTTTAAAGAAATTTAAAAAACTCGCTTTCTAATAAGAAATGAATAAGAATATATAACCAGAGCAAAATTAATGAATTTCTACTTATTTTTTCAAGTAACATTTGCGGTTGCAGTTTTCAGTATGTTTCACCTTGTAAAAGTATCAATTACTACTTCCAGGCGAACGAGTATGGATGAATTGAGCGAGAGTTCACGTCGGAATAGTTCATTCGAATATTTACCAAACAATGAAAGCGATATGAATGATGAATGAATGAACGTTGGGTGCTATATTAGCGTCATTTATTACTTGAATATATTAAGCTAAAATGGGTTATTTTGGATTAATTGACATGGAACATGTATGAAATATTGCAGTTTGCTAGTTTTTCTTGCGAAATATTTCGGACCAGAAGATTCTCTTCGATCTAGAAAATTTCGTGCCAATTTTCGAAATTTTTGCTTGATTTGAATTTACCTTTTTTTTGACTTTCCATTCTCACTCTCCACTCCAGTGATCTTTATTGTATCGCTTTAAGGAACTGTAAAGGTAACTATTCATTCCATAAATACTGTTTTGTCTCTCTTGTCTTATGAGGTCTCTTCCTGTTCGTGTCCTAAATGAACCGGTAATTTTGCTCACTATTTCGCTGCCATTACAGCCATCATGTTTTCATAGTATGAAGTGCTATTTCTTTGTAATGTGCTTTTGTTCCTAATTGTTTTTCGAGATTTTTGCAACAGTTAGCAAATTTATAGCTTTTTAGATTATGGATGTATGCTTAAGCTTTTGGGATATTCGTTTTTAAGCATCTCTATGTAAACAACAAATGCTGATTTTCTTTATAGGTGATATTCAAGTTTGCTTTCCAGCGAAAATTCTTTAGATTGAGTTATGAAATGAGCGGACTGACTATTAAATTCTAGCTGTGTGGTACCTCGCTTCTTATTTTTTTATCATTTTTTGTCTCATATATTCATCTCATATATGAATATAATATGCTATCACTCGCTTAAAAGCCGATTTTATTATCTGTCTTGCACTGGTTTAAAAGCAATGGTCCATAAAATTTGGTCTTGAAGATCAAAATACTCAATGATATGGTTTTAAATAAGGTTCAAATTATCAGCCTTTTTTTTCCCCAAAGTACTTCGTTGTCTTCTGAGTGCATGACCTAAAATGGAATTAAAATTACAGGATCTTCAGAGTTTAGAAAGAAGCATATTAATCCGTAACCATGGCTAATATTCATAATTCGTGGATATTTCCCGTGCCTCTCCAATTTTCCCCACATTTCAAATCCTTTACAACTTTGGTTGATGATTGTGAGGATGATATTCTCTGAGAAGTTCGTACATTTGATATTTCAAGATTTTGTTGAAATCTGATATAACTTGTTAATATTCGTGAAGAAGAAACAGAACGAGGAAGAAGTAGTGAACTGTTACTTTAATCTAATGGTTGAAATGATATCTAAAAATGAAACTTTTCACCATTTTTACACCATTTTTGTACACCATTTTGTACACCATTTTGTACACCATTTTGTACACCATTTTGTACACCATTTTTCCTCTCGAAATACATTTAGACTTCTTTTAAATACAAACAATACATTTATCTATCATAGGTAATTGTGCTTTTCAATCTATTTCTTTAATTTCGTTAATTTCTTTTAATTCTTTGATTTGTTAATTTTTGTTAATTCGTTAATTTTTTCATTTATTTGGAAAAGAATAACTAACTGATAGTGAATTGATGAAGTTGAAATAAAATTAAAAACAAAACTCAAAATTAAACCAAGACAAAATCAAGGTGTCAC